TTGAGTTGCTTAAGGATTATGATATTACTTTCTTGTATCATCCGTGTAAGGCGCATATGGTAGTGGACTCCTTGAGTAGAAAGGCATAGAGTATAGGGAGTATGGCATTTATCCCATCTGAGGAGAGGACTTTGGCTATGGATGTTCAGTCTTTAGCTAATAGATTTGTAAGGTTAGATATTTCTGAGCCTAGTAGAGTTCTTTTTTGTGCTATTGCACAGTCATCCTTATTGGAGCGTATTAAGGGTCACTAGTATGATGATCCATACTTGGTAGTGCTTAAGGGCACGGTGCAGAGAGGTGGTGATAAGAAGGTGGTTATTGGAGATGATGGTGTTATGCAACTTCAGTTTTGAATTTGTGTTCCTAATGTTGATCGTCTGAGGAATTGATTCATGAGGAGGCTCACAGTTCGAGGTATTATATTCATCCAAGTGTAACAAAAATGTATCATGACTTAAAGCAGCATTACTGGTGGCAGAAAATGAAGAAGGACATTATTGGGCATGCTTCTCGGTGTTTGAATTGTCAGCAAGTGAAATATGAACATCAGAAACCAGGTGGTTTGACTTAGAGTTTGGTTATAATGGAGTGGGAATGAGAGTATATTACTATCGACTTTCTGGTACTCTTGAAACAGACTTTGAATAAGTTTGATTCCATTTGGGTTATTGTTGATAGATTAATAAAGTCCGTGCATTCATACCAGTGTTGACTACATATACTTCAGAGGAGTTGGCACAAATCTATTAGAGAGATTGTTTGCTTTCACGGTATGCATGTTTCTATCATTTAAGATTAGGGTACTCAGTTCACTTCTTACTTTTGGAGAGCCATTCAGCTGAGTTTGGCACACAGGTGGAGCTTAGCATAGATTTTCACTCACAGATGGATGGTCAGTCCGAGAGGACTATTCAGATCCTTGAAGGTATGTTAAGAGCTTGTGTGATTGACTTTGGGGGTCATTGGGACCAGTTTCTACCATTGATGAAGTTTGCATACAACAACAGTTACCAGTCCAGCATTCAGATGGCTCCGTATGAGGCCTTGTATGGTAGGCTATGTCAATATCCTATTGGTTGGTTTGAGCCTGGTGAGGCTAGGTTATTGGGTAAAGATTGTTTTCGTGATGCTTTAGATAAGGTGAAGTTAATTCGGGAGCGACTTCGTATAGCTCAGTCCAGACAAAAGATTTATGTAGATAGAACGATCTATGATATGGCAGTTATAGAGGGTGAATAGGTACTTCTAAAGATTTCACCCATGAAGGGCATGATGAGGTTTGGGAAGAAAGACAAGTTGAGTTTGAGGTTTATTAGTCCATTTAAGGTTTTAGAGAGAGTTGGTGAGGTTGCTTATAGGATTTCTTTATCCTAGTCATTCAGGTGCTCATCCGGTATTCTATATGTTTATACTCTGAAAGTATCATGAAGACAAGTCGCATGTTTAGGACTTCAGCACACTGCAATTAGATGATAATTTGGCTTATGAAGAAGAGCTAGTGGCCATTTTGGATGGACGGGTTTAGAAATTGAGATCAAAGGAGATCACATCGGTGATGGTGCCTTAGAGAGGCCAACCGAACGAGGAGGCTACTTGGGAGATCAAGTCAGATGTGTTGAGCAAATATCCACATCTTTTTAGCAGCACAAGTATGTTTCTAAACCCGTTTAAGTATGGACGTTAAGAGGTGGAGAATGTAAGCATGTTCCCCTATTTGATTCATCTCGTATTTTCATTTGACAATAAATTACTTGCGGTGATGGGTGGTTTGGTTTTTGTGTGGTTCGGGAGTGAGTTGGAACACTTAGTTTCTATTTAGAAGCCTTAAGTTCTAAGAGTTGACCCGAGTTTAACTTTTGGGTTAACGATCCTGGATTGGTAATTTGAAGGCTCCAACAGGTTCCTATAATGATTTTGAACTTGGTCGTATGATCGGAATTGGTTTGGGATGTTCCTGGAAGGTTTTGGCTCTATTTGTTGAAGGTTGCCAATTTGAAGAATTTAGAGAGTTCTTAAGTTTCACCGATAGTTGACTGTGAAGTTATTGGATTTTGGTTGTTCTTCCGGAACTGAGGTTAAGTTCTTATTGTTGTATGGAACTTGTGTGCGAAGTTTGGTTTGGATCTGAGGTGCCTAAGTATGAATCAGATGCTTGGTTGGAAGTATTGAAGTTTTTGAACTTAAGAGAAGTTCAACATGTGATTTGGCCTTTGATTCTTTGATGAGATGATTTCATATGTGTTTTGAGATCTTGGATAGGACCGGATAGTGTTTATGGACTTATTGGGATATTTGGACAGGGTCCCAAGGGGCTCAGGTGGATTTCGGACCACTCGAAGCATGTTTGAGATTACTGATTTTGCTGGTGTATGGTGTGAATCACGAACGCGGGAGATGGGTCGCATTCATGACGAAGTACGTACGGCCCAGGAGTTTGGCCTTCGCATTCGTAAAGGAAGGGCCATGTTCTTATAAGGAGGCTAAATCCTTGGTCTTCGTATTCGCGGAAGGGCATGTCGCATTCGTGGAGTAGGCTGGGCAGAAGGCCTTCGCATTCGCGAGGTTCCTGTCGCATTCACGATGAAATGATTTGGGCGGCGGCTGTGTAGTGCTTTGCGAACGCGAGGCTTAGGCCACGTTCGCGAAGGGTATTGCTGGCATGGGTATTTTAAGTCGAGAACATTGGAATTTTGCTCATTTTTACCATTTTTGAGTTTAGAAGAACGAGCGGAGGAGATTTTGAAGAGAGATTTCACTACAATCTTTGAGGTAAGTAATTTTTACTTGGATTTAATCATATATCTTGATTCCTCATGAATTTCTATACCTAAAATATGAAATGTTAAAGTAAAATTTGGGTGTTTCGTCTATAACTTAAGAGAGTATAAATTGAGGTTTTGAGCATTAATTTGGACTTGGATTTGAAAACTAAACATATATTTGGACTCGTGTGATTATGGGTAAACGGGATCTACCCCTGGACTCGGATTTTGACCATGTGGGCCCGGGTTGACTTTTCTTGACTTTTTAAGAATTGATTAAAGATTGAATCTTTATTGTTTGGAATTGATTCCCATGATTTTATTTGACTTTACTAAGTATTATTTGGTTAGATTTGAGTCGATTGGTGGTGATTTCTAAAGGAAAGGCGGTTTTGGAGGGTTGATTTGGCTTCCTAAGGTAAGTATCTTGCCTAGACTTGGCTTGAGGGAATCTATCTTAGAAGATTGTCCTTGTATGACTAATTGCTATGTATTGGGGGCGATGTATATGCGTGATGGCAAGCGTATATGAAAGTGTCATGGGCTATTCATGCTCTGGGTAGATGTTAGGCTACCTTATTCTTTGAATTTATATCATATGCTACTTATGACTTGTTGTTATTCTTGTGTAATTACGTGAGCTCTCCTAATTAGGCTAGAAACCATGCTTTAGGCTTTTGGACCTTATTGGCAATAAATGGCTATTTGTGATATCATGTCGTACTTGTTCTAGTTGTACACTGTTCACGTAAGCATGTCTTTGCATGTTAAATTTCTTACGTCCATATGCATCATTTCTTTTATTTATGGCGCATATGCACACACATTGTATATGAAAACTCTCAAATGGATTGAGGTTAAGGCACGTGAGTTGTCCGTGTAAGATGAGTATTGTGACACGTGAGTTGTTCGTGCAAGTTTTATTTTTATTAGCACGTGAGTTTTCCATGCAGCGCATGGATTTGGATCTGTCTCTCCGGAGTCAGATGAGCACCTATTGTACCTTGGGCCTTGTGTGCGCAGGTTTGTTGCACACTTGGAGAGTGTCGGTTGATGACATCGAGGGTTAATTATGCACAGACATTTTAGACTCATATTCATGGCATTTATAATAATGCGCTGCATGCATATCATATTTATATGCTTATTTGGTGTACTAATATGAGCTTTTGATCATTTTTACCTGAAAGCATGCTATTGTCTCTGTTAATTGTACCTAATCATCTTATATGTTGTTTCTGCTAGATTCTTGTATTGTATTTGTTTATGGACTGTTCAGGTTACTGTTTCTGCTAGATTCTTGTATTGTATTTGTTTATGGACTGTTCAGGTTAAGATAGTAAGTATCAGTTGATCAATATTCCACTATTTTGGCGAGGTTAGTCTTGATACATACAGAGTACATTGGGTCCGTTATACTAATACTATACTTCTGCACATTTTTGTGCAGTTCCAGATATTGGTACTAGCAGATCTGAGGAGTAGATCATTGTTGTACTAAGGAGACTTGAGGTAGTGCAGTTCATTCATCCGCAGGCCTCGAATTCTTTTCAGGTTCAAGACTGTTAATTACTTCACACAGTGTTGTCTTATTTCAGATTGTTGTATTCTGACATTCTTAAAGGTTGTACTACTATTTTCACATATTGGTGTTGGTTTTATACTTATTTATGCTCTAGAACTCAGTTAGACTTGATATATTACTTCATTTCTGTTGTTTATTCAGTTGTTGCGTGATTTGGTTTGCCTCCTAGCCGACGCGTTTGGTGCCATTACGGTCACTGGTGGGATTTTGAATCGTGACATCATTATAGTTGTGGCCGAAATGTTAAGTGACAGCTTGCAATGTGAGCTGGCCACACTGATTTGATTAGTTAGAGAGTTAGTTTGTTGATGATTCTGTTAGAGAAGTTTAGTTACCAGTTGGCTAGATATTTTCCTTTATAATGGCTCATTATGCTATGTAGTAACAGTTCTCAAATTTTCTCTTCATCTATTCTCTTCTGATCATTTCAACTGTTTTTATTTTATTCTTTTATAAAGATCTTTTGTTCATTTCAGCTAATTTCATTGTTGGCAAGGTTCTAATAATTTGACCCCTTTTCCCTTTTAATTGTTTGACTGCATGTGTTATTATTTAGTAGCAAACGATTTTACGTATTTGTCGAATTTTAAAGGTGATCAAACTCAACGGGGTCATGCATATCCAAGTGTGAGTGATAACTCCTACTTAGGTTGATTCAAGTATAAGCCATAGATATTTACAACAAAATATCGTGTACAAGCACATAATTTGGCACCTGAGTACATCATGCATCAACTTCTTGTATAAGAAACAACAGTTTTCCTCAACTACTAGTAGAGCATCTTTTTTATCATATCCAAAACTACTTTTTTTAATCTCTTAAATATTTGAGTATTTGCATTGCTGAACCACGGAGGAGCACTCGAGGCTGAGGATCACATCCATGCGCACAAGCTCAACAAATTGTTCGGTCATCCACCTACAAATACAATTCCTATAATTTCACCAACATCAAGAACTGCTGCCATGTGACCACCTTCATTAACCACTCTCTATCAAGAGCGACGGTTCCTTTCATCTTAACGCAGCAGCTTGTACCAAACAAGTCCTGTTCTTGAGAAGCTGTCGAGCACTGCTGATATGGTTTAGCACAGAACAAATGGAGTAGCTTCAAGCTTGCAAAACTTATATGATATCAAGATGCAAGTGCAACTACAGAATGAGATTCCTGAATTGCATTTCCAGTAAGCAAAGGACTCTTCTGAAACTCATTTCTCAACTGTCCACAAGCAGCACTTGCATCAAGTCCCCTTGTTTGACGTACACTAGCAGTTACTTTACGAGATTCAAGAGCAGAGACAAAAGCAAGAACCTGCGCCAAAAAATTCAACGTGAATGCATCAATGCAACATAAACTCAGATGAAGTGTTCGGAAGGAAGATAAATGGGGAAATCCATCAGCTAAGGTTGTAGAGATTGGACGAAGCATACTGATCTTTTGGATGGACGCTTATACTCCGAGCCCTCTATTGGATTAAATGGTATTAAGTTCACATGATGACCACGACCCCATTCATGAAGCAATTCTGCCAGTTCAATTGCATGCTCGACCGAATCATTCACTCCGGCTGCCAAAAAGCGAAAATTGGAAGTCACATACTTAGCACATGTTCTCTAGACAGTCCACCACAAAGGGGGAAAAAAAGAAAAGAATTCACTGAATACCTAAAAGTGTATATTCAAAGGAAACCCGTCTTCTAGTTTCCAGGAAGTAATCCCTGCAATCCTTCATAATTGCATTCAAAGGGTAGGACTTTGCACTTGGTACAATCTTTTCCCGAAGATTCTGATTTGGAGCATGTAAGCTGATGTACAGCGGTGAAACAAAGTAGAGATCAGAAATTCTAGATAGCTAAGGATAAATCAGCAGGGAACAAAAGAATGTCTCCGTTAATATGCAGCATCTTCACAGCTCTATGTAGGCCAATATAAGAGTCCTCGAGAAAACTTGTTGTAAAGTCCCAGTGAAAAAATGAAACTAATCACATCATGAAATATATAAAGTTCCACCAATATCTGAACTGTCCGTTCTAAATTCCTTGCCTAGAGTTTGCAGAAAACCACTCTTCAACTTTTGCAAATCCGGTTTTCTATTCAATGGCAAGAAAAAAAAAATGATTTAGGCCACAATCTCAGTACACTTGCTTCTTCTGCTACATCTTGTCCAGATCTGTTGGCCACACTTCTCTGAAATTAAGTGGGGTATCAACTTTCTTGCTACTGAAATGTGTTAGTTTCATGGTTTCTTAATCTAAAGTCGTCATTAGAGATTTGGTAGCAAACATCATTCTTATGCTTTTATTCAATGTTTAAGTTTAGCCTGCATATGGGCTAGAACAATCCCCAAAGTAGTATAAAAGCCACATATCAGGAGGCAAGGACATTATGCGAAGGGGCACAAGAAAATCTATATGCTGTAAAGGGCTCAGACTAATCCTTTTTTTTATTTATAAAAAGGGCTCAGAATAATCTTTACAACATATTGCAAGAAGGAAATAAGCACCCAAAGTCCCACACCACTACCATAGCAGTGCAAAATATTCTGAATCTCATGGACACAACTAGCAGTTAATAATGAAAAGCCAGAAGTATCTGCTACCAGACATGCATTTCTCAGCTGTCATTTTAAGATTCTTTTTCTTCCCTTTTGTTGTGCTTCATTTGAGTTGTTAGTGTGTGTGGTGTTTTTGTGTGTGTGTGTGTGTTGGGGGNTCATACTATACCATATGAAATAACATGGAGCAATTTTGCTGCTTTTCTACAAAACTTAAAGGTCAACTATATGGAAGAATGATCCTACCACGCTTGTGTCAGCTCTTGGCACTTATTGTCCAGTGCTTTTATATTACTTCATCAAGTTTGATTTACATTTGAAGGAAAATATTTCTCTAGCAAGACATAATAGATCTCTGAGTCACTTGCATATTTCATACCCTCTGAAAAGGAGTAAGAACCAAGTGCCCACATTTTTCAAGGTGAATATTCATAGAAAGCTATTCAAGCAGCAGCCCAATTATGCAATGAAATGCATGTTTAAGCAATCGACACACCACTTAACCTCAGAAGCTTGAAGGCAACAGAATCTTGGGAGCCTTTTATACCAAGAGAAACATATAAAATACACACTTATGGACAGGAAATACGTTGTACCAGAAAACATTTAAAGTTCAATCAACATGTCAGACTCGAGGGAGTAACTCAAATGAACAAAAAAAGTCATATCAAGGATGTTACAAGACCTTATTCAGGCAACGATGTGCTTCAAGGACTTCTTTCATGTTCAACATTGGCTCCCCCATACCCATAAACACAACGTTTGTCACTCTCTGCTTGAATAGCTCTTCTATTGCCAAGACCTGCAGTAGTTAATTATAAATCAAAATAATCTCCATAAGTTTGTGCCAGACATACCATGTTCTTGAATTTGGCATCAACTAGAAAACGAAAATCAATACGTGTGCCCACAGAATCCTCTTGACTGATCAAGTTAAAGTTCAAAACCATGACTGATAAAGGTAACAGCTTTTAGCAGCTATGGTATCTTAACAGGCCATCCATTTTCTATCCAAAATGATGGATAGAAAATCTATTGAAAATCCCACGATATAGCTTTTATAGCTACAAGAAAGCAATTATGAAGACGCGGGTATATATTAAGGGCAGAGATGCAAAGAAAACCTGATCAACAATTTCATGGCTCTTAAGGTTCCTTGAGAATCCTCCTTTGCCAGTGGCACAGAACGAACAGCGCAATGGGCAGCCCACCTGATTAGCAAAGAAATGAATGACCACAGTGGCAGAATAAAGATTAAAAGCCACATAAAATTTTAGTAGCTAATTCTGAGAGCATATATTTAATCAATGATGACAATAAGTTACCTGAGATGAAACACATGCTGTCAAGCGAGATGAACCATCATTGTCTTTAACTGGAATTCCAACAGTCTCGACCAATCGGTTGTCCTCGAGCTTTATTAACAACTGAAGATAAATATCAGGAATTCTAAGATAGTTAAAGAGGGAAAGGATGACAGAAGAAAGAGATATGTACTACACAAAAGAATTCAACCTCCCAAAAATAATTATAACTTTTTTTCTTTTTTCTTTTTCAGACCAAAAAAATTATAACTAAAAAGTACAATCTTAGGGAAGATTTAAATAAAAACACCAAGACATACAAAATAAAAAGCTGTCTCAGGGCATAACACAACTTGCTATATAGCATATGCTGGAGGTCCATTATCTAACTCATTCTTTAAAAGTCACTTCCAATTTGCTCTCCTTCAGTAGCTGGATATGGACACAACATCCTTCCGTGTTAACACAATCCTAGCTTCCAGTTATGCCACACACACGCACCAGAAAAAAAGAAAAAAAAAAAAGAGAGAGAGAGAGAGAAAGAGAGAACCAGTTATGTCCTAAAAAGTTCAGCTAGAAATTTAATTATTTCATTATTTCAACTTTAGCTTGAAATATTATTTGCAAATCAATGTTTGTCTTGTAATTTGGTCCGTTTTTTCAACTTTAACTCGAAATAGAGAATTTAAAGTTGAAAAACTGGTTTGAGGGTATTTCAAATGAAACAATGGTTTTCAATCAAAAATTTCAACATTTTTTCAAGTGATATTCATGTCTCCAAACACAGCTTGAACTTCCAGATACCCCTTTTCCAACTACAACTTCAAATACTCTTTTCAACTTCAAGTGAAAATCTTTTGTTTGTTTTCCTTTTCTGTTTTGTATTCGACCTCATTATCTGCTTCAGGATTCTTAATTCTCATCTTCCCTTCAACTTGCTTTAATTCTCATCTAGTCCCGTATTTATTTGTTGTGACCTTCCCCCATCCTCAATGCCAAGCTCCCAAATTGTTGGGCTTTGTTAAAACCTTTAGGTCCGTTAATCCTAAGCCTCCAATCTTCATAGGTGTTAAATAGTTATATCTAAATAATCCTATTCCCATATGTAGTAGGAGTAGAACATGTATTATATATATAGAGCTCATTGTATCATTGTTCATAAATCAATAGAACATTTTCCCATGTATTATTTCTCACATGGTATCAGAGCATGAGTGAGACATATCCGGGAAAGTCAGACAGTCATCGTGCGTCAATTTCCGGCGATTCTAGGGCAGATTTATGTCAAACTAATTTCCGTCGGTGTTCTGCAAAAACCAACACCACCACAAGGTCCCTCAACCCCCGGCGACCAAACCCTAACAAATATCTCCGGCAGCAGAGCTCTCACGCACCTATCGGAGCAAAAAATTTCCTGCGAGATCTGGTCCACGCACAGGCGCATGGGACCCCTTCCTGCTATTTTTTGGCCGACCTTCTTTGAGACAGCTTGTTCGCTAGGCATTTCCGACTCTACCCATTTATGTTTCATCATATTCCGACAACTTTTTTATTTTTGGCGACTATTTGCAGATTCCCGCGACTGTTCCAGTTTCCGAATCAAGATTCGCCATCAAGAGAGGGAAGAGCCTTGACTTTAGGTTAGGCCGGTCTCATCATTCACGCAATTCCCCCGTCCATCGATTGATCACGCGAGTACGCATCCAGTCAGCGCATAGCGAATGAAAAAAGCGTTCATCCTGGATTCTCTTCCTCAAGAAAAATGTCTATCAATTGATCCCTATTCATTCGGTCAAAGTCTCCACTTTTCACGCCCCTCTACTAAGANTCGTCCATCAATTGATCACGCGAGTACGCAACCAGTCAGGCATCCAGTCAGCGCATAGCGAATGAAAAAAGCGTTCATCCTGGATTGCTCCAGCATGAAAGTTCCATTTCAGGCGGCTACAGTGTATTTTTTCTGTTGCTTCTCAACTGTTTTGTGACCCAACACAATTTTGGACCAACTTCGCCACCAATTTTTGTGACTTCGTACTTATTTGATCCAACCATGTCTCTCGGACTTGATGCATTTGGTTCCAAAAACAATGGAATTGGAAATTCAGCCTTTATGATTACTTTTGAACCCCTACTTGGAAGTTCAAATTATTTATCTTGGGCTTCGTCTGTGAAGTTGTGGTGTAAAGCTCAAGGTGTTCAAGATCGCTTAACCAAAAAGGCTAGTGAGGGAGATGAAAAGACCAAAGCACAGTGGAAAAAGATCGATGCTCAGTTATGTAGTATCTTGTGGCGATATATTGATTCCAAGTTGATGCCTTTGTTTCGTCCATTCTAGGCATGTCATTTAGTTTGGGAAAAGGCACGTACTTTATACACTAATGGCATATCTCGTTTCTATGATGTGATATTGCGGATGACAAATTTGAAGAAACAGGAATTGAATATGTCGACTTCCTTGGGACAAGTACAGGCAGTCATAGACGAATTTGAGAAGTTGATGACAGTTTCTGCTAGTGTTGAAAATCAACAAGATCAACGACAAAAGATGTTTCTAGTTCTTACACTCGCTGGACTTCCTAATGACCTTGATTCAGTGCGTGACCAGATTTTGGCTAGTCCGACTGTCCCTACAGTTGATGAACTATTCTCTCGATTATTTCGCCTTGTTGCAGCACCTAGTTACATAGTGATCTCATCACACACGGTTGACTCAATTGTTCTCGCATCCCAGACAATGGAAAATCGGGTATCTCAGACTATGGAGAATAGACGAGGCGGATTTTGTTTTGGAAGGTCTCGACCCAAGTGTTCTTATTGTAATACAGTAATAGGCTTGGACACACTCGTGAGACCCGTGAGGTGTGTTACTCTTTGCATGGTTGACCATCTAAAAATGCTCATGTTGCTAAAACAGAGACTGCAGGTAACCAGAGGTTTTCTTTATTTGAAGGGGAATATAATGAGTTCCTTCAGTAACGAGCAAGTAACCAGACACCTCCACAAGTAGCCTCAGTTGCTCGGACTGATACTTCTGTTGCTGGTAATTCCTTTACTCTATTTCCCAGTCTACTACTCTTGGACCGTGGATCATGGACTCAGGCGCCTCTGATCATATTTTTGGTAATAAGTCACTTTTGTCAAATATTGTTTATTCACAGTCTCTTCCCAGTGTTACTTTAGCCAATAAAGTCCAAACAAAAGCAAAAAGAGTTGGACAAGCTAATCCCTTATCCTCAGTCACTTTAGATTTTGTTCTTCATATCTCTGGTTGTCCTTTTAATCTTGTATCGGTTAGTCGGTTGACTCGTGCCCTCCATTGCGGTATATACTTTATTGATGACTCTTTTGTTATGCAGGACCGCAGTACGGGACAGATGATTGGCACAGAGCGTGAATCACAAGGCCTTTACTACCTTGACTCACTCAATCCTTCCACAGCATGTCCAGTTACAGATTCTCCAGACCTAATTCACAGACGTTGAGGACATCCAAGTTTATCCAAGCTTCAAAAGACGGTGCCTAGTTTATCTGGTTTGTCTAGATTGTGAGTCGTGTCAACTTGGGAAACATACCCGAGCCACTTTTTCGCGTAATGTTGAGAGTCGTGCAGGGTCTGTTTTTTCTTTAGTTCATTATGATATATGGGGTCCTAGTAGAGTCAGTTCAACCTTAGGATTTCGTTATTTTGTTAGTTTCATTGACGATTACTCAAGATATACTTGGATTTTCTTAATGAAAAATGGTTCTGAGTTGTTTTTTATATTCCAGAGTTTTTGTGCAGAAATAAAAAACCAGTTTAGCGTTTCTATTCGTATCTTTCGTAGTAATAATGCCTTAGAATAGTCATCATCTCAATTTCAGCAGTTTTTGACTTCTCAAGGAATTATTCATCGGACAAGACTTGTCCGTATACCCCCAGCAGAATGGGGTAACAGAGAGAAAGAATTGACACCTCATTGAGACTGCTCGAACACTTCTAATTGAGTCTTATTGTGAAGAGGAGATGCACAGATGCACCGGTGAAGAGGTGTGAGAGGCTGGCATTGGAGGGCCAATGGGCCAACGGAGAGGTAGAGGCAAGCCGAAGAAGTATTGGGGAGAGGTCATTAGGTAAGATATGGCTTTGTTCCAGCTTATTGAGGACATGGTCATGGATAGGAAGGTGTGGAGGTTGAGAATAACAGTAAAGGATTAGGTAGTCGAGCGTTGTCCTTGTTTGTATCAGTAGCTTTGATACATCACTTAGTGTCTTTCGTGTATTTTCGTATTCCTAGACTTCTGTTATTACTTGTTGTCTTTGTTTCGGTTTTCTGATTGCATTACCTGGTGTTAGTTTTGTATTTTCGCTTCGGTTGTCAGATTGGTTTGCTTGTTATTGCCCTTCCCTTTATCTTTCCTGAGACGCGGGTCTACCAGAAACAGTCTCTCTGTCTTCTTAAAGGCAGAGGTAAGGTCTGCGTACACTCTACCCTCCCAGACCCCACTTGTGGGACTACACTGGGTATGTTGTTGTTGTTGTACTTACTTAACATCTTTATTTCTTTAATTGAGGGAAGGGAAAGAAGTTTTCGAAAATTCAAAACACCAACACATGTGACATGTATAATTTGGTTATCCGATTTCATCTGTATCAACTCAAGTTTCAGAGGTAGAAACAGACCAAATTAATGCGTTCAAGGAAGAATGTTTTCCCTTTTCTTCTCTAGTCCCCCTAGACGATCCATGCAAAAAATGGTCTTTCCTCTTCTCAAATGGCAAAGTCGCCAAACAGTCCAACAACGCTTCATTTTACATGTGCAACACTAAAAGAAAGTCTACATTTCAGTATAAATGTTTTAATTAAATACTACATCTCTCTACGAGTTATTGATCGAGGTTTAAACTCGAGAGCAATTTTTGTCAATAATTTCTAACACACCCAATTATTGGAATTGCGCGAAAAATGGCACCAGTACGGAAAAAGATTCAGCCTTTACGATGGTAATAATTCCTCTTTAATTTGCATTCGCACTTTCCTGACATGCGATAAAGGCTTGATAATGCTTTTAGCCTATTTATAATCGTGGAACCCATTTAGATGGATTGGAAGCATAATAAAGTTAAAAGGGTTTTCCATATGATGATTGAGGAACATTTAGGTAAATCCAAGTGAAAATACAGTTTAGTGTAAATGATAGGGCAAGGGACTTTCTATTGTGTCCAGCAACAAAGAGAAGAGCTACACCTTCAACTAACGAGCAAATATGCCAATTCCATAGACATTGCAAAATTTAGAATAAGGTTTGCATGTAACATGGTTGCAAGAGAATGAACTTATTAAAGCATTAGGATCAGAAATGCTCATGTCATGGGACCATAACTGAGTGATTAGTGGACCACATGCAGCACGTGTCAGTGAGATAAAATATCCATCAATCAAGGGAGGTTCATAGTATTGTTTGGAAGAAAGCCCACATAAAGACACATTCATTGTGCAACAAAACCAAGCATCCTCATGATCCTTGGTGGTATGTGTTCCCCCGGGATTGGCTCTCTCCATAAGATGGGACAAATTTTGCTTTATCCGTACTAATTTTGGCCTTTGGGGCCTTGGCTATCATAGTGAGGTGTGAAAGCACTATGTAGCACATAAGCAATGTATGTCGTAGTTGCATCAAGCTATTTGTTGGCACTAGGATCTTGTTTCAATAGTGCTAATGTCATTCTACACCTTCTCCAACCGACACTATAGATTTTGAGCTGGTTTGTTTCTTTTCTTCTTCTTTTTCACCAAGCTGGTTTGTTTCTACTTCTGAAAAATTTTGCACCTTCTGGTTTAGACAGGTTTAGCTAGTATCTTGGGTTAACTACAGTTCTTATAGCTCCTTAGCACCAGAATAAATCTTCGAGATGTCTCTTCTGGAGGGTAACCCTTGTGCTAATGACACCACTTGGGATCTCATACTTATAATAACAATTGTCCATCATTCAAAAATAAGCAAGTTCTATGAGTGTATGATACCACCACAAACCCCCAAGTCAACATTCAATCCCACAAAAATCACAATCACTTTTATACAACAACAACAAAGCTAGTGTAATCCACAAGTGGGGTCTGAGCAGGGTAGTGTGTACGCAGACCTTACTCCTACCTTGTGCAGGTAGAAAGGTTGTTTCCGATAGACCCTCGGCTCAGGTCAACATAGTCGCAGCATTAAAGCAAAAGAAAAATAGTAATGAGAAGGTCATGAAAAAAAGTAACAGCAGCGAGATAGTAATAAAACCGAGCCAGAAGCAACAACGGATAGTGATAAACATCCAAGAATAAGATAAAATAAGAGTAATACTAAAACTGTCGGTAAGGACAGGAAGTAAGCTCTACTACCAACTAACTTTTTACCCTAATTCTTGACCTACACAACTTCCTATCAAGGGTCATATCCTCAGTGAAGATACACCATGTCCTGCCTACTAATCACCTCTCCTTAAAACTTCTTCGGCCTCCTCTCCCTCTCCTTAGACCCACCATATTCAATCTCTCACACCTCCTCACTAGGGCGGTGGTGCATCTCCTCGTTACATGTTCGAACCATCTCAAACTTAATTCTCACATCTTATCCTCCACGAGGGTCACCCCCACCTTTTCCCGAATATCTTCATTCCTGACATATCCCTCCTAATATGCCCACACATCCATCTCAATGTCCTCATTTTCGTTAGTTTCATTTTCTGTACATGAGAGATCTTGACTGGCCAACACTCCGCCTCATACACCATAGTCGGTCTAACCACCACTCTGTAGAACTTACCTTTAAGTCTTAGTGGCACGTTCTTACCACATAAGACACCGGATGCAAGCCTCAATTTCTTCCACCCCACTCCAGTACGGTGTGTGACATCATCATCAATCTCCCCATTACCTTGGATTACTGACCCTAGGTACTTGAAACTTCTTCTCTTGGGGATGACTTGTGTATAATACCTCACTTCCACTTCATCTTCCTAAGTTACATCACTAAACTTGCACTCCATGTATTCAGTTTTAGTCCTGCTAAACTTGAAGCCTTTGGACTCCAGGATCTGTCTCCAGACCTCCAGCTTAGCGTTAACTCCGTCTTGCGTCTCATCAATCAACACTATGTCATCTGTAAATAACATGCACCAAGGCACCTCCCCATGAATGTGTCACGTCAATACATCGCGAATAAGAACGAGCTAAGAGTCGATCCCCGATGCAATCTCATCATGATTGGAAAGTGTCTCGAGTCTCCTCCCACTGTCCTTACCCGTATTTTAGCACCATCATACATGTTCTTAATCGCCGCAGTGTATGCTACAGGAACACCTCTAGCCTCCAGGCACCTCTATAAAACTTTCCTTGGAACTTTGTCGTATGCTTTCTCCAAATCAATGAACAGTACATGCAAGTCTCTCTTCCTCATCCTATAGTGCTCCACCAATCTCCTTATAAGATGAATGACTTCGGTAGTCGATCGTCCCGACATGAAGCCGAACTGGTTCTCGGAAATAAACAATCCTCCCCATCCTCATCTCCACCACCCTCTCCAAAATTTTCATAGTGTATCTTAGCAGCTTGATATACCTATAGTTGCCTTCAAAACACCAACATACAGGCATTAGTTTTAACTTCTAAAGACATGGAAAGCTCCTACCACCATATAGTCAGTACAGCTACTAAAATCATACTTTACAGCTCCTCTCAATCCAAGTAGTTATTCGAAATCATAATTTGGTTGATACTTCATCCATGCATGATGAGGTGAAGCCATATTACAGTTGTTCTGGGGCTAGTGGGATATTTGGGTCAAAAGAGGTCTAACATTAAATGGTTCATGACAGGAAGGATTCACAAGAATATGAACTCCATCGGCAAAAAGTCAACCTGTTGAAGAAAAAAAAAGAGGTTGAAAAGTCAATGCTACTAAAAAACATCACTTTGTCATCTAAAGTGACAGAGCAACGCAAACCGAGTTCTCCCATGGGTGAAATGATGCGCCTATGAGAACAGCATGCTTCAAAAATGAGGCATAGAGTGCTTGAGCAAAAACTGGTCAATGCTTTGAATCTGACTTTAATAAATGTAGAAAAAGGAAAAACAGGACCTCTTGCTATGTAGATTCTAGGTCTCCTCTCCATATACATATCAATGTTTTCACTGCCCTCGTTTTCTTCTACGACTGTTTCTCTGCTACATCGTCTGCTTCATGTTATTTTCATACACAAATAATCTTACTACTTCTTGCAGACTTCTCTTTTGCTTCTTTTTTCTACTCTCTTAGTTCAGTTACTAAAGTAACTAAACATGAGGTTCAATACTGCAACTTAATTTTCTAATAATTGACTAGCCGAATATAAGTATTAATTTTGTGATTGAAGTTATCTTTCTGTGGTCTTAGTGAAATTATATTTTATTGATGTCTGATTAGAATTGTTGGATTACTATAAAAGTTGTCATTATTATATACTGGAAGCTGAAGTTAGCAACTTGATGTTATAAACATATATTTGGTACTTCTTGTATTTTTCAAAAATGTGCACTTTACTTCTAAGATGTGTGCACTCCCATTCTCGATTTTCACTTAAGATCCCATGAGTTCTATCTCTTTTTGCTCTTTGCGCTTTTCATACTGCAAAAAGCCTGCACTCCATGGTATAATGGAGGCACCAGACATAAAAAATGGAGTCACCACATGCCAAAATGCCTTGTATAGGTATATCGACAATCTAGGATCAGCTTCAACTGGCCATCTTTTTGTATAGTCATTAAAATAACACCAGACTAAACAGTCAACCAAAGTTAAGCACACAAGAAAGTTATTTCTAAATGAAATTAACTGGAAAACTACTATACTTAGGGCAACAAAAAATCTGTAACCACTAACACACAGCATAACCAAAATATAAGCATGCAAGAAAATTCACCTTGATGGTCCCATCAGCTGCGGTGACTGCTTTATGAATTGGGGACCTTCCAACCCTCCATCCTGCTTCTTCTAAATCGTATCTGAATGCCAACGGCACTACAAAATTTAAGTAATTACAAAACGTAAGAGCAAGCATAAAAATTAAACAAACTTTGCTCTTCTTTTTTTTGATTTGCACCGGGTGTCCGAGTCTCTTTGAGCCCGACTAATCCCGGGGTGCACAGGCCCTCGGCAAGGAGTTTTCCGCCACCACGGTTAATTCAGGTTTTACCCAGTCCGATGGCCCTCAGAAATTGTTTGGACCCAGTGAGTTTCGAACTTGAGACCTTGAAAGGGAGCAAACCCCAAGGCTCAAGTCATTTGCAACCGGGCCAACCCTGAGGGTTCATACTTTGCTCTTAAATAAATAAAACTAGAAAACTATTTCCAACAGTAAGAAAGAAATAAGGGCTAAAACAAAAAACTCACGCTGACTAAATTCCTGAATTTCCTTGACCTTTCTCTTGTAGATGAGATGATACAGCTGTTTACCTCTAAAACTTTTCTGTAGCACGTTAAACAGAGTAATTAAGTGGAGTACTATTTAACAGTTTGGTTACAAATTGTTGGGCTGTGAACAAACCTGACCAAAGTCGAGCGCTATTTGCTGAAGTTGTTCGTCCGACAAGCCAAGGAGGACGTGCGAATCCATTTGAGAAGCCTTCTTGAGTGAGGGTACTCTGACGCTACTGGAGGCGACTGTAAAAGTGCGAGACCGTAAGGCCCGTGCGAGGGGAAGTGAGCAGCCGTACTGAAGAACAGCCATCGCCATTTCAGCTCAAACCTCAGAGTGCTCTCAAGAGGATAAACCCAAAAATAAACCTCTATGGATTTTAAATGATACAATAATATAGGAATTAAATAATAAAGGGACTTTAGTAAATTTTATAATGTTTGGTTAATTATAGATTTTTATTTTTAATTTTAACCTTGAATTATTTTAAAGGACATTGAAAAAGTAACTTTGAAGAAGGGCATCTTTGTAATTCGAGTTTTATTTCGAGATTATTAATTCAAAAATTGTTATCCCACTCTCAATATGAAATTTAATTTGTAAGTTGCTTATCCTAAAATTAAAAATTCAACAAAATGCGGAATAAACTAATTAAGTATTTTGTCTCGGGATTGTTATCTTTTATTACAACAAACAAATGATCAGTTGGAGTCAAAGAAAAGGGAAAGGAAAGATACTCATTAGATTTATTTATTTTTCATTAGAGGTCCTTTAAACTTGTGAAAGATTTTCATTTAAACAACTTAACTAAGTATCCGAGCTATTGAACACCTAAACTCTTTATTTAATGGGTCTATTGAATACTTAATTGACAATTAAAAAGTATGAATCTCAATCGTTATGACATGGCCAAAAAAATAAATAATCACATATTCTTTCATTCTTTTCTCCAAAGCAACTTAAGTAGTTTCTCTTCAATTTCATCCTTGTCACGGCCAAACAATAAAAATGAGTGATACGTCCAAATTATACCTTTATAATAGAATAAGCAGTCATCGTTAAATATAGAACCAACGAGGTTGGGTCGAATCCCACATAGAATACGACGAAGAACGGATTACTTGTTAAATGTAACGCCCTACTGAAAGTCTAATATTTTTATGATAGTAAGTAAAAAGGTTGAAATCTATACCTAAAAGCAAATAGATTAATGGGTTAAATACTACAACACAAGACTAATTTTATATTGTGTAACGAGTAGGTAAAGGGACTAAAGTTGTGGTTTCCATCGGAAGATAATGTCAATGGGGTATGTAGTATAACCAGTTTAATGATGTGATATTATGAATAATAATAACTAAACTTTTATTAAAAGTCTCTTGACTCATTAAATAAATATCACTCTTAGATTCTCTCAAAGTTAAAGTGTGTGAATGTGAACACTCAATATATTTTAAGTTAAACTCTTTCTATCACTAGATTGAATTTATTATATGGGATTTAAGCCCCAAATTCATACTATTTACTCTTTTCGAAGCTTAACTCTCTTTTTCAAGTAAAGTTTAAGGTAAAATGGCATTATTAGATGTTTGAAAGCACCAAATAACTAATAAAGCATAAAGAATAAATAGAAAATATAAACTTCAAAAGACATGTGCTTTTATATTCATACCCGTTCACTTAACAATAAGGAAGTCATGTATTCCTAACTAAGATATTTAGGTAGACATTAAGGATAAAGAAAGGATACAATAGTTAATGGGAACCATTGATTCTTATAATGCAATGAAGAAAATGAACAAAAAAGATAGATTCTCTTTGTCTTTAAAGCTTCACCAACCAGAAAGAATAATATTTAATGAGGGAGGCAAAGGTTGGAACAAGATTGGCCCACAAAACTCTAAAGGTTTTGTTTATAGTATCTGTAAATGTATACAAAAATCTGACAAAAAGGTTCCCCGATATCCTTCTGCGATCGTAAAATGGATCGTAGACCTGGTATTCGATTCGCAAAATCACCCTAGGGTTCGCAAATTGTACCTCTGGGAAATGGACCTAGAACGTCTGATATGGACTGCAGATCGTAAAATAGACCGCAAACTGGATTTGTGATACGCGGAGTGGTTCAGGTCTTCACAGACTGAAATTTTCCTTTTTTGATCTCTCATTGCAAAGTCGTTTTGCATCTTGCATGTCAGTTCTGTGACTCGTAGAATAACTCGCAGAATGCTCTCCAAAAACTATCAAGTTCTAGCTTCTTTTGTGGCTACCTACTTTCCTTTTACGGCTCACATACCCTTTCTCCGGCTTGAAGAATTTCTGGCAACACTTCCCACAAATATGATTCGACACTATTGCTTGTTTCTTACTCCTAGACTCAAAATTCCTACAGAAACATTAAATAATATAAGAAATAATAGAAAATATACGTAAAGGACATTAAAGCTTATGAAACGGTATCAAAAGTGCCATATTTTTCACGGGATATTAACACCCCTAACTTAAACTCTTGTTTGTCCTCAAGCAACTAAAATACAACATACACTATAGGCAGAGGCGGATGTAGAGTGTTGACGACGGTTTCAATTGAACCCATAATTTTCCAAGCGGAGTAAAAATTTATAAGTAAATATTCGTTAAAATTATAAAAATAGTAGATATAAACTCATAACTTTAAAAATACAATGGGTTCAATGCTAAAACCTTAAAAATTGTACCCATAAAGTTTAAATCATGAATCCGCCTCTAACTATAGGCTAAAAAATTCCTAAGTTTTACAAAGCGAGAATGACTACAGTTGATACTAACTATTAATTACAAGCATACGACTTTATTAGAGTTAACCCCTCAATTTCAAAACAAGAACCCAAGAGTGCTTAACTATCAAACAATCACCTCTATGAATATCATACCATAGGATTGCCTTGATTTTAAATCGCCACTAACTCAAAGATCACATAGGACTTTTTCATGGCTTATAGCGTAGGCCTGGGAACGGGTAGGATAAGTATTTGGGATAAAAGTAATTGTGCCCTCCTAGATTACTACCCACATTTTTCTTTTTAGACACTTTGCTTCTTTGCCTGCCATAGAGCCGTGTTGTGAGTTATATTTGGATCGGGTTGTACGCTGCAACAGATTGATATTTGGATCGGTTTGCACGCCACAACAGATTGATATTTGGATCGGGTTGCATGCCGCAACAATTATATTGATTATTGATTAGTGCTTGGGTCAGGATCCACCCTCCGCAGTCTGATATTATAGTTAGCGCAGACATAGAGATATATGTGCTTTGGTGACGGAAATTTATGGTTCGCGCCGGTTGACTCTCGTCAATGTACACATTATTTAGGATCTGACCATACGACCTCGGCATAACTCGTGTGTAGTATCGCTAGGAGTCCGAATATTCATGAGATCTCCCTTTTGATTGAGATTTGGTATTTACATGATATTCTTTATCTGTCTGAGATATCGCTTGATATTTCTTATCTGTCAAAGGTAGCACTTGATATTCCTTACCTGGTTGGGATAGCGTATCATATTGAGGGATTTATACGGTCACTGCAATTGTAGGATTTTGTTAGTTACACATCTTGCCTCATTATTGTTGTTGTATTTCATATCTATTTATAATTTATTATATTTATTTATTGGACCACTATAAGTGTCGATGTCGACCCCTCGTCACTACTTCTCCGGGGTTAGGCTAGACACTTATTGGGTACGTGTTGATTTACGTACTCGTACTACACTTCTGCACTAATTATACAGGACCTGAGAGGTTCATTTAGTGGTCATCTTGGCGCGTAGGCGCAACTACTAATGGGGCTTTATGGTGAGCCGCATTCTATGCTATGTGTCGCAGCACACATAGTCTCCATCATATTTATTTATTTTATCTTGTCTATTTTATATTCCAGATAGATGTTGTATTATTATTGTACTCCTTAGTAGATGCTCATGCACTTGTGGCACCAGGTTTATGGAGTTTTTAGTAGATGTTTATAGATTTTATCTAATTGTCGTTACTCTTTTCTTTTATGTATTATTAATGCTTTATATTTTCATGGTTTTTTATGCCTAATTTTCTTTACTTAATAAAACCCATAATTTTTCAAAAATAATAAAATGAGTAATTAAGTTGATAGTTCACCGTTGGCTTGCCTAACGGCGATGTTGGGCGCCATCATGACCTATAGCGGGAATTGGGTCGTGACAACTTGGTATAAGAGAACTAGTTTCACTTTGGTCTCACGAGTTATGATCAAGTTTAGTAGAGTCTTGCGGATCGGTACAGAGACATCTGTACTTATCTTCGAGAGGCTACAGGGTTGTTAGGAGAATTTTCCTTTCTTGATTCCTCATCGTGCACTTTGATTTTGTTGAAGCTTATGTCTTCATATTCTTCCTACTCATTCTTACGTGACGTCGAGCATTCGGTCTCAGTTGGGCACCTACGAGTTGCGGAGATGCTACAAATATGGTGCAGGATGTCTTTCCCTGCGTATGCGGGCATACTATTATCGTCGCCTTGTGGAAGGGTGTTCTATCATTTCAGCCCAGAGTTGCATATAGTTTAGAGGCTATGCAAAGTGCATTATGATGTTCATGCTTATTGCGCAGTGCTGGTGTAAATGGTAAGGTGCTTATTTACATTTTGCGGCAATGAATGATTCAGGAGGAGGATTATTCGGCTCATGATTTGGGAAGTTTGGTATTCGTTACGGTACTGGAAAGGCAACTGGTCTATGAATGCTTAGGTTTTGGTTGACGGAGTAGCGAGATTTGATATTTCCAAGTGGTGGAATTCTTGTTTGTGTAGTGGCATCGTCATCCCTGTTTGAATGCAGTAAGGCTCGTGAGTATGATGATCTCCATTTGTTTGCCTTTGGGGCATGGTGTTGTGAAATGGTACCTAAGAAACGGTTATCAGAGATGGCGCTATGTGGAAGTTGCAGGGTCGAATCAGTGTTTCTATTATCGATGATTCGAGGGAGATGGTTGTCACGCCCCAAACCTGTGAAATAGTACATAGCTTGAGTTGATTAAACTCATTCCTTTTGTAACTATCATGGTCCAACATGGCCACAACTCATAATATACAATTGTAAGTGGGTAAACGTTGTATCAGCGATCCATCGTACTTAAAACATGAATACACGCGGGTCGTCAAGGCCTCTGACATACTGTACATAATGAACATGTGTCTACAAAGCCTCTAAGAGTATTCAACATCAAACGGGACAGGGCCCCGACTTACCCATAAGTTCGTAGCAAAACTCTAACACGATGACTTATAGACTCGGCTGTACTTCGAGTGAAGTGGAGTCTTTCCGATCCTTCGCTGAATGCTAACCTCGTCTACT